AGAAGTAGTGTGGGTGTAGATATTCACAATACCCATTCCACCACCTCTAAAGCTCTTGTCCTAGTGAATTTTATGAGTTTATATCCCTTTCCAAAGTTTTTTTTTTCCTGTGGTACAATATTTAGTGAAAATCAGACTAAGCAAGCAATTTATTGTAGGGCTATTGAGTATTTTAACTTATTTTGTGCATTGTGAATATCCCAAAGGTAGTCTTTATGACATGGAGTGGTAATTAAGGTGATTTGACCATACAAACACTTTGATGAAAGAGGGTGTTTAATCTTAATCTCTCTGTAAAGAAATTTTCTAAGGAACACAATTCTAGAGAGTGTGGGTGATCAAAGGGACTTGTATTGTGTTTTTAATTAAACTTGATTTTAAGAAAGGATATTCTCTTCATATTTTTTATACAAACTCTATTATTTTACCACTCAAATACAATGAATCAGTAGGGTATCATGCACGAAATATGTAGCCCTATTTGATTTTAACTGTTTTCCCATCTTTCAAAATTTAACATTACTAATAATATAATGAAAACCTTTTACTTGATATTAAAATGGCAATAAAATTTCTTTATTTAGAAACACAACTAAAATACATCACAATTGAATGTCACTGAAGCTTCAAATATAGAGGAAGATTTAGGAATGCCTCATATTATACAGCACCTCCTAAACAGGAGGCATTTTACAAATACACATTGAATGAGTAACAAACATACTAATTCCTGTTTATGAAGACATTTAGTATTAATTAGAAAGGAAAACAGAATTACTAATAGTATTTAGAGATTCGAGGCTTTAGCTTTTCTACGCTTACTGGGATGGCAACAATGTTTTTACTGTCAGAATAGATCAGAGAGAGAGGGGGGAGAGAGAGAGGGGAGAGAGAGAGAGAGAGAGAGAGAGAGAGAGAGAGAGAGAGAGAGAGAGAGAGAGAGATAAATAGGTAAAGTATAGCATTTCCTTTGTCTAGACCAATTAAAAATCTTAAATTTTAAAGTTAAAAATTAAATTAAGTAGTAGGTATTCTATCTACTACTCAAGGACTCATATAAATATCTATAGTAGGACCTAGCAGAACTATGTGCACATAGTAACAAGACTGACAAGTATACACTGAGTTACAGTAATTATACTCCTTAAAGAACTTGACATAAGCAACATGGAAAATTCCACATATTTGTATCTTTTCAGGAAAGTCAGTAAGGCTTAGGTACTTGAAGGCATTTCCTCAAAAAGACCAAAAAAGATGCCCGAAATGACACATCAGAAAACCACCTATTTAGACACCAAATCTAGATAAAATCATGCTTCTATATAGTGTGTACACAATGAAAAGATACACAAGTATGCTCTTTCCAGAGGTTAGGTGTGCAGTTCTCACTTATTCTGCTGTATTTATTTTCCGACAAATGTTCTCTATCTTCCTTTTGCTCAATGGAGTCCACAGTCATCCTTTTCCCTTTCTTTTCTTTATATTATTCTTTAATTCTGTTCTTCCTGGATTGCTGAGCAGGTCTGAAGAAGAGCTGGGAGAGATGATGGAACAGAAGATGGGCTCACAGGACACAGGGGACTAGGTACTGGACACAGCTTTCTCCAAACATTTTCTTACACTCTTTGCTATCCACTCTGAGTACCAGGAAGGTAGGATGGAGGCTCTGTGATAGCCAATGTCACAGATTTCTGTCTTGGAATAGTGCAGTGTGTGTTTGTGCACAAACCTATTTGAGATCCTTCCTCTCCTCTCCCCGAAGCAGGTCAGGATCAGGAGATGCTCAGCTGCCAGCTCTTCCAGTATTGCCGTCGCTTCCAAGGAAAGAGAGCTTTTCTCTATAGTTGTTCTTTCAGTGGTTCTAATGTTCTGCCTGTTAGTTGCAACACAAAGGCACCAGAAGGCTCTACCTGTCAGTCCGTCCTAAAACCTCGCTGTTCTAAGCACCTTTGTCTGTTCTTTACAGAACAATGATAAAGTTCTGTACACAGTGCCTGGACTTTCCTGAGATCTCAGCCAGCCTTTCCAATGTCCTCACTCTAATTTTCACTGTATTTCCAAACTCATATTCATGTATTTTCTTTTAGAATCAAACTTTCTTTAATTTCACTGAAGAGGAAGTAATCAAATTTTTTGTTTGTTTTCTTTTGTGTGTGTGTATGTGAGTGCGTGAGTGTGTGTGTATGTGTTCATGAGTGTGTGTGTGTAGACAAATTTCTAAACAGTCTTATTAAATAAGAAGCACGGAGCCAAATGCAGAGGTAATAGCCAAAGAGATCAGAGAACTAGCAAAGAGCCATTACTACCTTATCTTACCACCTCACAGCGGTAGCTTCCCCAGAGAGAGCTTCTTCCTGTCTGACTTGTGTTTTTTATTGCCTTTCTATTCTGCCTTCTCATTGGCTCTAAGCCCAGCCACGTGACTTCCTTGTCACCACCTGTCTATACAGACCTCTAGGTCTCTATGGTTGGTACTGGGATTAAAAGACTCAAAGGTCACCACGCTTGGCGGTGTCCTTGACCACACAGAGACTCTGCCTGCCATGTGATCGGATTAAGGATGTGTGCTACCACCACCTGACTCTGCTTATGGCTTGCTATGTGTCCTTGCTATGTGACCTCTGGTCTCCAGGCAAACTTTATTTATTAAAATACAAATAAAATCACATTTTAGCAAAATTAAAATATCACCACAAGTGTGTGTATATGTGAGCGTGTGTATGTGTGTATGTGTTTGCTGTGTATGTAAAGAGAGGTACAGACTCTTTAGCTCAGTCTTCCTTTCAAGAATCCTCACAAAAGGTATAAAATGTAGCCACAACAGGAGTAAGGGAGAGAGAGAGAGAGAGAGAGAGAGAGAGAGAGAGAGAGAGAGAGAGAGATATGAATATTAAAAACTGTTGGCAGCAGAAAAGTAAAGTTGAAGATTTAAGAGATGTGGTAATTTTAGATGGCTACAAGTTTAATAATAGGGATAGCAGCAAAGACAGAAAGATATACTATAATGGAGATAAAATGTACACAACTATGGGACTGCAGCCTTGATGCTATGATCCAGGAGACAACGGAAGGACCTAGGGTTGATGGGAAGATTACAGACGGTACAGAATTCTCAGGAAATGAGCATTGGTTGGAAGCGACGAGGGAGTGAATGAATGAGACAGCAAACATTTCATGCTGCCTTTAAGAAAGAAGCTGGCTCTTTGGCTGGCTCCTATTACAAGAGACGGCTCATGTAGCAGTTGTAGTGAGCGAGTGTGGACGGTGGGTGGCGATGTCTGCACACATCCTCAGTGCTGGCTGAAGTCTGGAGGACAACACTTGCTTACTGAAGCAAATCTCAGTAGGAAGCGATGGCTCTCGCTGCTGCATTAGTCACAGGAGCATTCTCACGATCTGGGCTTGTGCCTTTCTAGTGTATATCATGACAGACAGAAACTAGGCTAAAATCTGTAGGGAGCACTTCTGATTTCATTAAATTTTCACAGTGGTATTTTTGCTTCTTCTTAATTAAGTAATGATAGAGTTGAAAATGCGATTAAAAGCCTGACTGTGGATGTTTCTTACTTCTAATGGAATTGCTTAATTTATCTCCAGGGAAAATGGCTCTTTTGTTGATAAAAGGACCAGGAGGGCTCTGGTTGGTGGCTTGCTTGCTTGTAAGATGCAGGGCTATGGGGGTCGTTTCAGGAGAGTGGGTGACAGAAAGACATGAAACCATTTGATAGAATAAAGCTAAACTTTGGGGTTTGGAATTACTGTGAATTAGCATGATGATTGCATTTTAGGAAGGACCATGAAAGAACGAGGCTTAGGTATGCCTTGAGACAAAGAAAATTATTTTTTATGTCAGAAAAATAAGAAAATACCTGGAAATAATGATGACCTCTGCTGTATCTCTGCTCCATCAGTAATAGTCAAGTTTCTACTGAAAACCATGTTAAGCCAGGCCTGGTGGATACAGGCCTGAAATTCCATCCAGCTGCTTAGGGAGCCAAGCAGGCAAATGACAGCTTCAAAGCCTGCTGGTTGCCTGGGATACACAGTGAGTTCAAGGCCATCCTGGGCAACTTAATGAGACTCTGTTGTGAAATTTTTTAAAGAAAGAAAAGGGCTGGGGATTTAGCACCAGGGTAGAACACTTGCTGAGCACGGATGAAGACCCATTTTCAATCTCTGGTATTGTAAAACAAAATAAAGCAAAACCCCGACGTGTGTCATTTGTATGTTAGAGAGACTTTTAGGAAAATGGTGATATGTGGTTAGAACTGGGAGTTGCAGAAACTTGAAAGGACATGGCTTAAATATGATGGCAAGCTTATTTTTCACGTAAAGAAATAGCAGTCCATTGCTGTGGATATCTCTCTATATAAATAAAACACTGATGGCCAGTGACCAGGCAGGAAGTATAGGCGGGACAAAGAGAGAGGAGAATTGGGGAAAAAGGAAGAAGGAGAGAGAGACTGCAACCACCACCAAGACAAGCAGCATGTAAAGACGCCGGTAAGCCAATAGCCATGTGGCAAGGTATAGATTTATAGAAATGGGTTAATTTAAGATATAAGAACAGTTAGCAAGAAGCCTGCCACGGCCATACAGTTTATAAGTAATATAAACATCTGAGTGATTATTTTATATATGGATTGTGGGACTGTGGGGATTGGTGGAACCTGGAGAGAAGCCCTCCAGCAACAGTCCATGGCAGGATCATTAGGGACTGGTGCCTTCTGTATCTCCACACTGCCTTCCCGAGGCCATAGCTGTCATGTTTCTCATTCTCCATGTCATCACCACCGAAGAGCATCACTTCTGCATTCCAGAGAGCATGGGGCAGGGGGGAAATAAAAGCACACATGCGCTTTTCTGCTGAGGCCTCTCTAGAAGTTCTAGACTTCAATTTAATGTCTCCACAACCAGTGCTTAGAGATAAGGAACGTTGGAAAATAGACAGAGGACTAAAACTTTCCAAGACTTAAACTATCATTTTACTATGTTGATAGGTAAGGTGGGAATGCACATCTGGAAGAGGAGAGAAATCCAGCTTGGTTGAAACATGGTGGGTTAAATGAAACTGGAGCTGGCTGAGCCGGGCATCCGAGGAGAGCCAAGCATGAAGAAACTGACTCCATCCTGAACCCTTCAGCACTGCCCTCCAAAAGATTCAGGAACTCACTGCCGAAGACAATTAGGGCTGCTGCAGGGTGCACAGAGGGGCGCAGGACATTAGGAGTCTTTTACATGCTATTAGTAAGACTTATCTGACAAACTGGTAATTATACAACAGGAGGCCATTTAGTCTCTTAGGCTGCTGCAGTCCAGAGCTTTCTTTCTTCTTCATCGTTATCCCCCGCCCCCCTCGCCAACTCTCACATTTATGCACCCATAGTCTTTCATCTAAAGCAGTGCATTGGTAAAAATGTTTGGCTAGGTGCCTTTTAAAATTACTTTTAGCAAATATGTCTGTGGGGGCCCACAGAGACCCCAGCTTGTGGCTTGTTTTCATCTTGACTCAAGGTCAGAGAGTCTGAGCTTGTTTCCCCACCTGCAAGGCTGCATAAGAGGATGTTTTGGCCAAAGGCGTGGTCACCAGATATCTTGAGTACTAGGGAGATGTTTACACTTAACTGTGCTTTGTACTTTGAAATGTGATGTCCTTCAAAGAGGGAGGTCTTTTTGCTCCCCGCCCCTTGCCTTGGGTATTTAAAGGCTGTGAGTAATAAAACTTGGGTCTGTGGTATTGACCCAGAGCCCTCGGGAAGCTATCCTGTGTCTCTCTGTCTTTTTCTTCATCTAGGTCTCTATTTCATAGCTACCTTTTCCCCGCTTCAGAACTGTTCAACAGACTGAGCAGGACTCGACATATATCTATTCTTTTCTATCAAACAGGCACATAGTATATGAATTCAGAATCATTTTCAAGACCAGCTATATAAACCTTGGCCTATAGATTAAACATCTGATTCCCCACCACAGATTTCCTATCTGAAAGCCTTTCTTGGGCTTTTCAGGGTAAATTGAAGGGATCATCAGAGTCTGTGGCCAGGTTATTGAAAGGATTAAGTTTCCCAAAGTAAAGAGAAAGATAAGAAACTTTTCCCTGAATCCAGTAGCAAAAATTCCCTTTTTGAGAAATTAAGGAGTTAAAAAATCTTGTTTTCCAGTTTGGGGCATGAGGATAAAAATTGGTTCATATGGGCTTCCAGTATAATACTGGTGCCATTGCCAAACTCCCTCAGGCCTATCTCCAGAAGAGTTGGTTGTCAGAATCTTGACAAAGTAATAGGGAAGGAGAAGAGTAAATTGATTTAATTTGTCTCTGTTTTGAGATTTGTTTTTGACAGGATTTAAGAATGTATCCTTGGCTGTCCCCAAATTTATGACCTTCCTACAGCAGTCTCCCATGTGTGGGGATTATAAGTGTGTGCCTCTGCGATTGGTTAGGTGAAGGGGTTTGAATTTTTATTACAATGTTACAATAAACATATGCAATAAGTTTCAAATTTTAAAAAACATGATTCTCAGGTTATTTGTTTGGACTGGTGTAATTTATGAAATAAGCAAAACCTAGTGTTTAGAGCTCAGCAGATAACTAAGGATAAGGTACTGTTTTAGTTTACTTTCATGCTGTTGTCTTGACAAAAGTCACTTAATGGACCAAGGGCTTATTCTGGCTCACAGTTCAAGGTGTAGGCCATCATGGCAGAGGATATTGAAGGAGTTGTCACATTTTATTCATAGTCAAGAAACCCAGCAATGAATGCTTCCTAGGGATAAAGTTTCCCATCTTTATAGTGTCCAGGAATCCCTGCCCAAGGAATTGGCTCACCTGGAATTAAGATGTGTCTTTCCCACTGAATGCCCAGAAGTGTATCTCCTAGGTGACTCTAAATTCTGTCAAGTTGATAATAAACTAACCATCACAAAAGTAGAAATCACAGTCAAGGTGATTTTTTTTTCCTTATCAAAAGCAGTGTGTCTTAAAATTTTTGGGTTTAGAACACCAAAGATATTTTGGTTATATTTATTCACAGTACAATAGCAGACATTGGAATGGGATTTTAAAAATGATATTAATGCACTTTAAAAACCAATAATCCTATTGCACACACCATAATATATTTTGTGAGATAAGTTTATTTTTGAAATAAAAGTTTAAAGAGAAGAGGAGTTGGCAAGATGACCAAGAGCGTGAAAGTGCCTGCTGCCCAGGCTGACAACCTGAGAGTGATTCCTACAACCTACACGGTTGAAGAGAAACACCTACTCTTGCAAGTTGTGCTCTGACGTCCACATGCACGATGTGGCATGTGAGAATTAGAGCCCTCCTCCCCACTCTCAGATACATGTGTGTGTGCAAGCACACCACCCACCCCCAGACAAGTTAAAAAAAATTGAGAATAGCACTATTTTATAGTTTTGTACATCCCCTTATTAGGGACCTAATAGAGGATTTCTGAGTTACTATATCTGCCTTATCCTTTAATTTTTTTTGTGATACCTTTCACTGACTGAAGTATTCTAATGGGTGTTACAGAGTTGTGAATAGCTTCTTTCATACTACAGCCAAACTTCTCATGTAGTAGCTAGCTTTCTAATGCTTAATTGCACCTAGAATCTAAGCTTGCAGAAACAGTCCTTTCATTACATGTTACATTAGACTTTTCCCAGCCCATCACCATAATTTGAAACCATAATTGTGTGGGTTTGTGATATAGCATAGAACACAGAATCTTTATAGACAATATCATGGTGCTGAGTTAGGCAGAGCTTCCAAATGTTGATGAATTTAGTTATCCAAGCCGTGAAGCTTCACTCATTAATTTCACTAACAAATTCATAAAAACAAGTCTCTGAGCATTGGAATACTGTCAAGCTAATGGAAGCTTTCATTTGAAACTTGAATTAGTATTGGCAATAAATACTGTCAGTTATCTTCCTTAAATGACAGTCTCATTTTGTTCATTTTTTAAAATAGAGTATCTGCCAGAAAAACAACTCTGAGTAACCACATCTATTTGCCAATTGTTTTTTAAAGTACAAATTCTGTTTTATGAAAACAGTAGCAAGTTTAGTTCATAGCTTAAACAATTGCTCACATTTTTTTTTCATGTTAACTATCCTACTTTTGTGTGTAACTGAAATGTCCCTTGTAGTCATTCAAGGAATCTAAAAAAGACACATACTTAAATATCCAGATTTAATAGCATTCGTAATCTTGATGTTTGATCAAGGACTTGCTGAGGAGACCATTGATACATTGGCCACTAAGAGAATAGTGATCCCCACTGGTTTGATGGTATTGCCTGACTCTTTCTGATGCCAGGTTAGGTCCACCATTGTGTCCTACATTCAACACAAATGTCAGTCTGGTAAAAGCAGCGAACGATGAGTTCATATTTTAAAGATAAATCTGAAATAACTAACTCCCTAAATGGTCTTGGGGAGCCAAAGACCATTTTGAAAGCTGCTAAAGTACCCAGTGGTGTTCTTCAACCTAACTAACATTCATTACATTTTAAAGTTCAATTTTATTTTTGGACTCTTTAAAAATTAATAAAATTAAAAATTATGTGTTCTTCATCTCTATCAAGTACATACTTTGCTTACTGAATAAAACTATGTTTTGATAATTAAAGATTTCTGGTAACATAAAAAATTTGTTTAATACTAAAATTGTTGAATTTTACCTCTTTTCTACTAATGCTCATGCTTGAAAAGCATTAGACTGTAGATGATGTAGTCTGTTAGTCTAATCTTAGATAATAATGAGGGAATAAGGAAAATGTTTTTCACTTATATATCACTTTAAACTATACATCATTAACTTCTAACATTTTCTTCAGTAATTTAAGACCATTTTATTCTTTAATTTTTTTCAATTTCTTAGGAAACTTGTTAGCCTTTGTGATTCAGTGTGACTGGCTATTTCTTATATATAATAAGATTTTAATTTTTTCTTGTCAGTTACCTGTTTTTCTTTTCAGAGCCATAGAGGGATTTTGTGTGGGTGGCCTCAGAGATCTCTGCCAGCTCCTTTTGTTTGCTCTTTCTTCTCTCCTGGAAAACTCATTCACTATCTGTTCTCCTTTGCCTTTGCTAGCTCCATCCTGATCTTAGGTTTCCTCTCTTCTCCAGTGTACTTGCAAAGCACATTCCACTCTCTCTTGTTCTTTTCTGCCTGGAGAGTAAGAAGCAAACATACAGATTTCTCTTTTTGTTTTTGATAGCAGCTAGAAATCAATATGGGGTCTACTAGCCATTTGTAAGACAACTCAGTCACTCTGCTTCCCATCTTCCTTTTGGAGCTGAGTTATGCCTAGGGCCATGATGCTCTTATGTGATAAACCCTACTGACCTTCATTTTTACTCCCAATCATTAACAATTCTCACTGCCCAGATCTCAATGTTTTTTAAAATCATATATTTAATTTTCTTTTAGTTTTTATTTTCCATGCTGCTGTGACTGAATTGTATTTCTTGTCTACAAATTTTATATTGATGATGCTCTAACCTTAAAAATATTTAGAATTTGGAGACAGGCTGTTGGGTAGCACTTAGGTTTAGTAGAAGTCCTGAAGGAGGTAACCTAACAATGAAATTAATGTCACCATAAAAAGAGACACCAGAGAGCTTGTTTGTGCTTTCTTGAACACATGAGAATACAGTGACTAGGTCTACAACATAAGGAGTGAGCCATCTCCACGAAATGACTATAGTTTATCCTCCAGAACTATGAGAGATGGATGTCTATTTTTAAATACACATAGACTGTGGTATTTTGTTAAAGTAACTCAACCTTATATGTTATCATCTATCTGGAAATCTTTCCATCCTAGATAAAGGTAACTGCCCACTTTTCACATTGCCATGCACAATTGATGTGGTGTGCAATTTTGAGATTTCTAAATGACTTATAAAACAACCCATTTTGTAGTGGGTAGCCATTCCAGCTTTGATATGGAAGTTCCAACCCCCATTGAGCCTTTGGTAACTGTAATGCCTACAAGGCAGGGCTGAGAGAGGACTCTGAAGACCCGAGATCCAGATGCTCAGGCTCTCTTGGTTCCTGGATCCCGGACGCTGGAGGTAGACTGAGCAGAGTTCTCCAGAGAACACCACCGGACTGCGCTACACCTTTCCCAGACCCTATGACCTACCTATCCCTTCACTTGTAAGTCACCCCACAAAATAAACCTCCCTTTTAACTACGTAGAGTGGCCTTAAAAATTTCACCAATACCATTTCTACTGATTTTCAGCACTGTCTGGAAGAGTACAGCTCTTAGATTACAGTGGGAGAAGTCAGCAGCAGTTTGGATCCTTTCTGCTCACTAATGACCTCCATCTCCATTTCTTCCTTACTCACAGAGACAACTGCTCCTGTTTCATTGGAGGATTCTTAAAGAAACAACATTGGAATCTGGATGCTTGCCTTTGATTCTAGCACATTTTAGTTGCATGGTATTAACAAATTATCTCTTGGGATATATATATATATATATCGAGTATATATATATACATTCTATTTGCAAACTGTGAGTCTATCAGTGTTAGTGTTCCAAGATGGTGTATGAGAAGAACTTGAATCACACTGATTAGTACATAACATGTAACCAGTAAGTATGGATTTCTGTATTTGTTCATATTAAAAAATTGAAACTTCATAGTGAAATTCTCTCCAAGTTTGTTTTAAAACTGAAGTTTTAAGCTTATCTGTTATCATGTTTTGTTTCTGCTCTCTTTCCATCATGGTGCATTTAGTCCTTCTTCAATAAAACTCATTCCTCTGTGGCATTACATCTGCACAGATTCCTGTTAGATTACTCATACCCCCTGCTCTCTCCTTTGCTTTCCTGTTCTTCCTCTACAGGATCTTTACTGTCATTCTTTAGATGCAGAAAAGACCCTCTGTATTTTATAGTAAAGCTATCCATTTTCATTGTTTGTTGCTTTATCATCTTCATTTTCTTCAAACCACTCACACTCTTTCATCTGCCTAATGACCCGTCACTAAAATTTCAGTTTCTGTGTCACTTTATCTCGAAACCCTTCCTTAATCCCTGTGATCTGGCCTAAATGGCTCTTTTTATGTGGTCCCTTAGCAAACTGCTCCTTCTTGTCAAAGCACATATCACACTCGAATTGCCTCACTGCTTGTTTGTGTCTTCTAAAATATTGCCAGCTCTTTCAAGACCAGAAACCTGTATTTATCTTATTTACTATCAATCCAGTGCACAGTTGTGGAATATAGTAGGCATTCCATAACCATTTATTAACTATGTAAGAACAGATGTAAGCTTAAGAAAAATAACAAGAGAAGTAGAGAATGTTGGCAATATTTTAGAGTCAGTGTCTTGACTACTCACTGACTTATATATTTATTTTGCTGCAGCTCTATTTGAATTTGAAAGATATACTTAAAAATCACCAGCAACATGATGGCATAAAGTCTTAATGTTAATCTTACATTAAGTAACTTAAGTAACTTAAGAGTAATTAAATTGACATTTTAAGTTTGTTTGCTAAATTACTTTACCTGCCTGTCCCACTTCTCACCTGATTTTTCTTAGGAATAATTGTGGTAAAATTCTACACTTTTTTTGCAATAGTTTTCCCTTTATTAATTTTATTCCCAAGTAACTCATAATAATATCCTTGAAATTTTTCCATATTTTGGATAAAATTAACCATACTTAGAAAAGGGACTTGGGATGTTCTGAGCTGCGTGTTGATGAGGATGTGGGCAGTGGTATAAATCTTGAACCATTAAAAGGGCCAATAAGCAGCCCAGAGAAGATGTCATGCTCTTCTACTCCTTTTGTTTTGTCATGGAAATGGGAAGAGATCCCAACTGGGAAATCCTGGAGAACTAAGTGTACTACTCGGGCTCGTAAGGTTTTATGAAAGTGGTTCTCTGAGTTAAATTGTGTTTCCTGATTTCTAATGTACAGAGGATGTCCTGTGGCCAATAAAGTGTTCTTACATTTCTTCAGTCATGGTCTCTGTTTCATTTTTGAAATTACACCCACCACAAAGGGCCATGATGACTTCAATAAAAACATACTGGGGTTAATAGATGTATCCACAGACAAATAGCTTTTTCTGTTCTGTAGTGGTGACTACAAAACTCATTAAGAGTTTTCCATCATGTAAATGGGAAAGTATCTTCCCAGATAAAGAAACTCCCTCTTCCTAAGAGGTAGCACTGAAGCCCACATTAGAGGAATAAGAAAGAAAGCAAGAAAGAAGGAAAGGAAGGAAGAAAGGAAGGAATGAATGAAGGAAGGAAGGAGGGAAGGAAGGAAGGAAGAAAGAAAGAAAGAAAGAAAGAAAGAAAGAAAGAAAGAAAGAAAGAAAGAAAGAAAGAAAGTGAGAAGGAAAGAATGAAAGAAAGTTTGTATCATTTAATCAATATCCATGAAATGCCTTTTTACTTTTTACCCAAGTGGCAATTTGTAATTCAGTCACCACTTTCTAGTTCCATTCCAATTTAAACCTCTCACTAGATGTTCTGAGAATGTTAGGTCCTTTCTCCAGGGCCACATGTCCTTTCTCTTATTCCCTGGTTAATAACTGGAGGAAATTAAGGTAATTGTGTTGTGAGCATGAGAGTTGGTGAGACAAAATGAACCAAAAGACAATGGAAAGACTGGTCTTAGGACCATTTTCTTAGGCTACTTCTTCACTTGAAAATAAAATCAGGAGATACTAATATTAATTGTCCTGTTCATTACAGAAAAGCAAAAATGACATTGTAACACCCTCTAATGCTTTCTTTGAACTTAATAATGTTTCTTCACCAGTGTATATTCCAGTCATGGTTCTTAATCTAGTCCACAAACTTTGGTATTAGTGCACCTCTGCAGGTAATATTGGAATATTGGTATGCAGGAATATTGTGCTTTTACACAAGCACATGTGCAATTTCCTTAGATTTTATCTCATACCCCCCAAAATTTAAGATTTGGAAAAGACAGTAACCCCCCCTACACACAGTCTTTATATGAATATATGGACATTGCTATAAAGATGTATTCACTGTTGTCGTATAGATATGGTGTAAACATACTTGAATGCATTGAAATGCATTTATGCATGTACTCACATACTACTATATATAATTAATTAAACAGTAATATATATTCTTGCAATATCTATATGCCTATATTGTTAAAATAAAACTTTGGCATTTAAATCCCTTTGTCTCAGCTGCTAACACCCAAGGCACTCTCTTTCTGGAAACCTGCTGGCTAAACCATTCCAAGGAAACAGGTAGACAATCTTTAGTCTTTTCCCTATACTCCAATTCTGATTCCCCAGTGTCGTAGTTAGGGTTTCTAATACTGTGAGGAGACACTATGGCAACTCTTACAAGAAAAACATTTAATTGTGTAACACGAATCTTAAAAGGCCTTATTAATAAAAAACAAACAAACAAACAAACAAACAAACAAAACCCCAAAGCCAGGTATTGGGATGAATGCTGAAAGATCAGAGAAACAGAACAAGCCACATCCAACCTCACCTTGTCATCTTAGCTGATCCTGAGACTGAGTTTCCTCAGACTGAAAGTCTGTGAGTACTCATCCAAATGGATCTCAGCTGAACTGCTGCTAAAAGCTAAAAGCTTAAAAAGGCTCTAGTTCCTGGTCTTCATGCCTTATATACCTTTCTGCTTTCTGCCATCGCTTCCTGGGATTAAAGACTTGTGCCTGGCTGTTTCCAGTGTGGCTTTGAACTCACAGAGATCTGAATGGATTTCTGCCTCTGGAATGCTAGGATTAAAGGCACGTGCTACCACTGCCTAACCTCTATGTTTAATATAGTGGCTGTTCTGTCTCTGACCCCCAGGTAAGTTTATTGGGGTGTATAATAATCAACCACACAATTGGGGCTGGCTTACAGTTGCAGAGGTTCAATCCATCATCTTCAAGGTGGTGTGCAGGCAGGCATGGTACATGAGAAGGAGCTACATCTTAACCTGCAGGCAACAGGGAGTGAACTGTGCCCTACACTGGACATAGCTTGAGCGTCTGAAACCTCAAAGCCTGCCCCACAGTGATACACTTTTTTCAACAAGGCCACACCTCCTAATAGTGCCACTCCCTATAGGCCAAGCATTTAAACACACTGGTCTATGGGGGCCATACCTGTTCGGAGTTCCTGCCCATTCTTCCAGCAGCATGGCCGCATATGCGCACTTCAGTGGCCAAGCAGTTGGGGGTGGGGGTGGGGGGATTGCGTCCTACATGTAATTTGTGCACTGTGCTGCGTGATCACATAATTTGCATAAAGCATGATCATACAATCTGTGCATGCTTGTGTAGCTCTGTGGGCCCATGTGCAGGGGGATCCTTAAGAAGCCAGTCACTGGGGCTGGAGAGATGGCTCAGAGGATAAGAGCACTGACCGTTTTTCCAGAGGTCCTGAGTTCAATTCCCAGCAAGCACATGGTGGCTCACAACCATCAATAACAAGATCTGGTGCCCTCTTCTGGCCTGCAGGCAAACATGCTGTATATGGAATAAATAAAGAAATCTTAAAAAAGAAAAAAAGAAAAGAAAAAAAAAAAAAAAAAAGAAGCCGGTCACAAGTCTGCAGTGGTGGCACACGCCTTTAATCCCAGTACTTGGGAGGTAGAGCCAGGCGGATCTCTGTGAGTTTGAGGCCAGCTTGGGCTACAGAGTGAGTTTCAGGAAAGGCGTAAAGCTACACAGAGAAACCCTGTCTCAAAAAACAAAACAAAACAAACAAAACCTGGTCACAGACTCCTCCCCTCTCTCTTCTCTTTTGCTCTGTTCCCTTCTCCTTCTGCTCTCTTTTCTTCCTCCTCTTCCCCACATGTCCCTTCCCAGACCTGTTTACTCTATCTTCTGTTCCTCCCCCATCACTTCTAAGAAAACTCTGTTCTGATAATGGTTTGTTGCCCTCGTGATCCTTCTCCCAGGGTAACTGCTGCAACTGCAATGAAAACAACAATACCTATCAAAGCGCCACACCCAGACTCTTTCCCAGCCCTTTAGCAGACAATCTGGAGGGGCCTGTTTTCTCTTTCTTCCTCCATTCCCTACGACTCCATAGATCTTTGTGGCAGACCCAGCTTTCTTCCCTCCTGCAGATCCTCTCGGTTCTAGGCCAAACTGATTTCATTATGTTAGCTTCCAGTGCCTAGGAACAAGTTTCATCCTTCTATCCAGTATCTCCAGCGGCCACACCTGGCAGTGACTTAGAAGCATTTCCTACCAGGCAAGGCAGAGCTACCACATGCTCCTAATATCCAGAGAGGGCAACAGAAACCAAGGACTAAAAATCCCACCCAGCAAATATAACACCATATATTAACACCTAGAATTATAATAAGCCCAAATCTAGATACTTGGATACCAACTTCGAAATAGAACCAATAGCAGCCAGGGCAATATGTGTGCATTAGAATCCAGCAACCCTACTACTGAGAAATGCAGTATAGCTGACGCACAAGACGAGGACTTCATAGCAGGTATTATGAATATGTGCTAGGACTTTAAAGAGGATATGTATAAATTCATTAATGAAATCTATGAATACACAAACATATAGTGAAGATAAATGAATAAAAGTGTTCAAAATAAAAGAGAAATGGAATCACTAATGAAAACCTGAAGTGAATTAAACCAGGAAATGAAAGATTTAGGAAGTTGAACAGGACCCTCAAAAGCAGGCCTCACCCACAGAATACAAGAGATGGAAGAGAGAATCTCAGGCATGGAAGACAAACTAGAGGGATGGATACCTCAGTCAAAGAAAATACTAAATTTAAAAAAATCCCAAAACAAACAAACAAACAAACAAACAAACAAACAAAAAAACAAGCCACAAAAGGTCCAGGGAATTTCGGACACCATGAAAAGAAAATCTACAAATAATAGGAATAAAGGAAGGAGAATAAACTCAGGGCAAAAGCACAGAGAATATTTTCAGCAAAGTCACAGAAGCAAATTTTCCTAACCTAAAGAAGGAGATGCCTGTCCAAGTACAAGAAGCAGACAGAACATAAAATAGACTGGACCAGAAAAGAAATTCCCGGGTGCACATAAAAATCAAAACACTGAACATATATGCCAAAGAAAGAATATTAAAAGATGTAAGGGGAAAAGACCAAGTAGCATATAAAAACAGACCTATTAGAGTAACATCTGATTTCTCAATGGAGATTCTAAAGGCCAGAAGGACCTGGACTAATGTGTTACAAACTCTAAGAGAGAGATATGCTAGCCCAGACTACTATACCCAACAGGAGTTTCAATTGCCATAGATGGAGTAAATAAGTTATTCCACAATAAAACCAAATTTAAGAAGTATCTATTTACAAAAACATCTCTACAAAAGGCACAAGAAAGAAAACTTGAACCCAAAGAGGTTAACCACACCCAAGAATACCCAAAGAATAATAAAAAAAAAATCTCAGACCAGCAAATAAAAAGAAGGGGGAAAGCCGCACAAAGCAACATCAAAAAATGGGAATCAACAAAAACTGCTCATTGATAACTCTCAAACTTAGTGGTCTCAATTCCCCAATAAAAAGACCTAAACTAACTGACTGGAATAAAATGCAGAAACTATTCTTCTGCTACACTTTAACATCAAGGGTAGACATCACCTCAGGGTAAAAGGATAAAAAAAGATATTCTGAGCAAATGGGCCCAAGAAACGATCAGGTATAGTCATTTTAACATCTGAAAAAAATAGACCAAATCAGAACTAATCTGAAGAGATCTTGAAGGACACTATGTACTCATCAAAGGCAAAATCCAACAAGAGAATATTGCCATTCTAAACACCTGTGCACCAACACAAGGGCACCCAGGTTCTTAAAAGAAATATAACTATAGGTAAAATCACATATGATGCCTCACACACTGTTAGTGGGTGACTTCAACATCCCATGCTCACCAATAGGCAAGTCACCCAGACAAAAACTAAACAGAGAAATACTGGAGCTAAATGATGGCATACACCAAATGGACCTAAGAGATTTACAGAACATTTCACCTCAACACAGAAGAATATACCCTCTTTTCAGCACCTTATAGAATTCTCTCCAAAACTGACCACATTTGAGAAAGAAAGCAGCTCTCAACAGATTCAAGAAAATTGCAATAACCCTTCATCCTATTTTAATACTACAGATTAAATTTGGATACCAATGACAACAGAAACAATAGACAGATTACAAAGTCATGGAAAATGAACAACTTATTTCATGAATGCAAAAGGGGTCAAGACAGAAATTAAGAAAGAAATTAGAAACTATTTAGAATTTAATGAAAATAAAAATACAACATACCCAAACTTATGGAACAAAACGAAGGCAGTTATGAGGCAAATCCATAGCACTAAGAGCCTAAATAAAATAATTGGAGCGATCTCACCTCAGTAATTTCATGGCACATATGAAAGCTCTTGGACAAAAATAAGAAACCACACCAAAAAGAAGTAGACAGCAAGAAGTAAACAAACACAGGACTGAAATCAATAAAATGGGAACAAACAAACAAACAAACAAACACAATATAAAGAATCAATGAAACAGAGTTGGTTCTTTGAGAGAAATCAATAAGATTCACAAATCCTTATCCACAGTAACTAAAAGGAAGAGGGAGATAATTCAAATTAACACAACTGGAGATGAAAAGGGGGACATAACAACAGACACTGAGGAAATCCAGAGAATCATAAGGATATGCTTAAAAACTAGGCTTTACCAAATAGAAAAATCTAAAAGAAATGTGTAATTTTCTTGATATATACCACCTGTCAAAGTTAAGTTAAGATCAGATAAGCAATTTAAACAGACCTATAGCCCCCGGTGAAAACAGGCCTAATACATCCAGTGACATAGAAGCAATGATTTAAAGTCTCCCAACTGGTCCTAGAGTTGAAAAGATAAGTGGACACATGCCTCCACCACTAACCCAGAAGCTATCTCCAAGTGATAACAAATGAAAATTTAGTCTTCTTCAAGGGAGTTGCACTGGAAAAACAAACTACTCTTAAAGATAGCCTGCATGCCCAGAAGTAGATAACCAACAGAAAATGAGCTCAGTCTTTGGAAGTTTATTGTCTCATAATGTTGTGTAGGAACATTTCAGAAACCTCTCACCCTTGGACAGCCTTGAGGCATGGGGAGGGACTTGGATCTGCCTCTACAAAATGTACCTCCCCATGGGAGGCCTTACCTTCTTGTAGGAGGGAATGAGGGGTGGATTGGGAGGGGGAGGCTGGAGGGGTGGGAGGAGGGAAGAGGGGGATCTTTGATTGGTATGTAAAATAAATAAAAAATGTTCTTAATTAAAAAAATGGTAGCTTCCTAATCTCACAATTTTATAAATTTTTCTCATACCAAGATAATTTTAATGTGATTCATATTATCATTGATTTAATAGTAAACTAAGTATTGCTAATTATTGGGGCATTATAGTTGCATATCCAACTTTATTTGCAAGGATTTTTACTAAGTATCTGGTAGAATGAAATGGCGACTTCAATGTTTATTTTAATAATTCAATTAAATTCAACAGTTCAATCATCTACCTTCTCAAACCATCAGAATGTTAAGCTACTGTTGTGCCCGTGTCAAAAGACCCCTAAGCAAGACCATCACAGAGCAGGTATCTGATGCAAGCACACAGGGGTTTATTAATAGCAAAGTAAGCCCAGGCTTGGTCTATGTCCAACACTCGATACAGCAGGTGGAGGAGAACGCCCCAAGCACTCACTTCAAGGGGTTTATATAGGAAATGTTCACGTGCAGAGGCTTACATATCTCGGGATTGGATAAGGGGGCTAGAGGTGAGGTAGTTCTTTGAAGTTACTGGCCGAACTATAAGCGTGAGGTTACTAATGGCTAACAGGATGCAGGGTATCTACAGCGACATAAGTTTTTTTTATTCCCTATACCCTATTTTTGCTGAACCCAGGATATATACATTCAGATTTATTGTTCCAGCCCTATTCACCAGGTCAATCTCCAGTCAACTCTAAAACTGCTAGTTAACAAATACCTTTGGGGGGTGGGTAGTATCTCTCAAGGGGGCTACTGATTTTTCCCTTTCACTACTAAGAAAACATTTCTATTAGATATGCAGTATGCATGATGTTAGAAATGAATTTTTGTCTTGTATATGTAACCATCATCTTCTCTCTCATTAAAAAAAAAAACGAAATAAAAAATAAAAACCTTTCATCTTATTTATTACTTTTATTTTTAATATACACTCACATATATACACATATATGTACACACACACACACACACACACACACACACACACACACACACACACACACACACATTTTCTTCTCTCTTTTTACCATACAGGTCCTTTGCATATTATGGCTTCCAAGAAATCAGTCCACATACCCACACACCAGATTTTTGATAAAGAAGCCAGAAATACAAACTATAAAATAGACAACATCTTTAACTTAT